GGAAGCGAGGTTGAGATGGTTTGGTCATGTGAGACGGCGGGATGCTGACGCCCCTGTACGGAGATGCGAGCGGATTACGGTTTTCGGGGGAAGTAGGGGAAGGGGTAGACCTAAGAAGAATTGGAAGGAAGTGATTAGACAGGATTTAGGACTTCTCACCCTGACTGAGGATATGGCTTTAGATAGGAACTTTTGGAGAACTAGGATTAGAGTAGCTGGTTAGGAACTCGGTGCTATATAGGTTTTTTGTAGTGTGTTGTGTTTGTTTGGAATCTTTTATTAATGCTTGTAGAACTTTCTTTTCATTGTACTTGGTGTTTTATCCATGCTATACTGTATACCCTATCATATTTTTTGTGCAGGTTGAGCCGGGGGTCTCTTGGAAACAGCCTCCCTGCTTCCAAGTAGGGGCAAGGTCTGCGTACACACACCCTCCCCAGACCCTACTGTAGTGGGATCCAACTGGGTTGTTGTTGTTGATAATTAGGCAAAGCATACCCGTACTTCTGGATTACAGCCAAAAAAAATTTCAACTTTACAGGCATTGTTTTGTTTAACTGATCATTATGACTTTTGTAATACATAATAAATTATTATACAGTCATATGTGAATAGATGAAGTTTTACTTGTTCTCAACATCTCTTATGCATTTAAGCATGTACTCCATTTCATACTTTTCTTTAAGCATATTTGACTTTTCTTGATCAAACTTCTACTATAAAATGTAACAACATTATAGTGAGTTATTGACAAGTCTTTAAATGTCATATTTTATTCGCCCATATTAGCCCGTTTTAGTATATTCCAAATGCATTTTTATACACATTTGATCACTATTATGTCTATATAGCAATTTAGGCCTTTATTTATATTTTACTCATAAAATGCATTTTTTTGTTTATTCTTTTACTTCACTATTTTTATTATCTCCTTGACGTAGGTTTTAAAAATCGTTTTACGGAGCATTAAAGGGCTCGGTGATCCTGGGGCTGTCAAGAATTAGATGAAGTAGTTAAAAGGGCCAAGTCGACCCATAATCCATTACGCAACTCCAAGCCAACACAAGGGTGTAGAATTCAGAATTGGCAGCCCAATTCAGCGCTGCATCCAGAAATCCTAGCGGATAAACGCTCCCCAGAGTCCAAATGAAGCCAAAGGTCTAGAGTACTTCGTTCTAATCTGCAGCGACGAAGCACTGAGGACTCCTACATACTTCGATTTTACCTGTGCGAGTACGTAGAAGACTTGGACTCAGCTTTTGAGTCCTAATTCAAGAAGGGAAGTGTTACTCTTGTTTTTAATGTTACAGTAGAGTTTTGATTTTCTTTTGAACACTCTTTTGCCTAGGGATAAGTTTGGTTGGTTGAATTAAATAGTTTGCCTTTTACAAATTGGCAGAATGTTTGTTGGACTAATCAATGTGTTTAAATGAATTTCGATGGTTTTTTGGGTTCAATTCCTTCCCCACGTATGATGATGTCCAGAATATGTTTATGTTTGAGTATGCTGATTCCTATTGTTCAATTCTGTTCTTCTTGGTTAATTGATCTCTTAAATTATTAAAACTCTCTTGTCTATTTTATTCATCAAAGAGATTGAACCTGTGGTTCAAGAATCCTTGTTGAGTAACTTGGTTTGGGAGATGTTCTAAGCTTTAGTGCTAGCGATTGGTTAATTTGAACTCAAAAATGGTATTTGAAAATTGATTTTGTTTATGGTTGGGTTAGATCAACTTAGGATGGCCACCTAAACTCTAATTCCAAATTGATAGTTTTGATGTCTTAAGTACGTTAATAGCTGAGATTTTCAAAACACACGTGTCACCCAATTAATACTTAATTGGCTCCCACCCGGTTTTTATTAATTGGAGTTTTCAAACTGGCTATGTTAAATAGATATAGTCTACTGCATAGTTGTTAAGTGATGTTTTCCAAAGGACTTAATGCTCTATTTTTAATTAAATCTGGGCAGGTCCTTGGGTTGTTAAAAATAGTAGGGTCTAGAGTTAAGGCAGGACTTAACATAGGCTATACTAGGGAGAATAGGGAAGAACCGCAGGTGGATTTCTTCTTCAACTTAACCCAAGAGTTTTGTCAATCGTTTTAGTTTGGGGTAGTCTTAGTTAATTTGAGAAGCCGGATGTGATCAATTCGTTTTTAAAAACCATAAAGTATTTTCAAAATCAGTTTAAGTTAATTATTATCGTTTACGTTTTTATAAAGTTTAAAGTGTTTTTTAGTTTTGTGTTAGTGTTGTCCTTGTGTGTCTTCATCCTTGTTCTAAGTGGCTGCCATGGTTGTGTTTCTTTGCCATTTTATCCTTTTAAAACCCCCCGAATAGTTAGCTCTTTTATTAGTTGTTTTTAAATGGGAAAAAACCTAAAACTTAAGTAAGTGATTTCCATAAAATAAAGAATATCTTTCTCCGTTGGATCGACTCTTACTTACCCTAGTTATGAAATATAAGTTTTGAATTAAAAAGGGGATAAGAAAAAAGAATTAATTTGTAGGTATTACGCCACGCCTAACAGTTATGATACAATTTTATATCATTTTGAAATTCAGTTTTCACTAATCATATCCCAAGTTTTCAAACGGGCCCTAGATATTTTTGGTAAAGGGTTATATGCATTCAAGTTATCGGAATAATAAAGGGTTCATAGTTCATACTCCACAATACTACAAATAAGTGACATACGTCTTTTGTTCCACTATTTTTGTCGACCTTTTCTTTTTGGGCTGTCATAATGTATTTGTCCACTTTCCATATTTAGTAAGTCTAATACATACAGACAGACACTTTTACCCCTCATTTACTCTTCTAACAACTCCATTTATTTTTAGAGTTGAAACCATAAAATTTTAAAGTCTGTGGTTATTTATAACATGTGTGTAATGCAAAAATGTATGACTAAAAGAATTGCAAATAGTGTCCTTTTAATTCATTGTACAGTAAAAGGTGAGATTTGACATTTACTTTTAGGCTTAACTATAATCTCATACTTTCTTTCCCTGTCGTAATCCATAAAGACACTTTCGATCATTTCCACACTCTTATTCAACTCCTTGGTATTCGTGCCAAAATCAAAGTGGATAAAGAAAATGGGACGAAGGGAATATTCTTAGTATTTACACCACTTTTTTCATAGTAAAAAGATAAACAACTAGGAAGTATATTTGCGTATCAAACACATCGAGATAAGACATTACCTCATTTTCGAACACGTTCAGAAGGGAGAGAGCATATTGATACAAACTGTTATACAGTATTTGCTTACAAAGTCAAGAAATCACATGGTACTTTTGTCAAAATATCCCAAGTCCATGTATGTGTGATGTGTGAACAAGGAGAGGTCGGTGAGGCAAAACTTAGGGCCACACTTGGATTCCGGGATATAATCAAGTGAAAAGTATTTGTTAAAGAATGATTTATTTTGAGTGAAGAATATGAAAGAGTAAATTCTATAATTGGTCATTTATAATAGGGGGGTTTCCCTATTTAGTCCTCTATTATCAAATATTACGCCAGCAGTCCTTCTTTTATGGGTACCTTTCCACAAATAGTCCTTTTTTTGATCTTCTATCATGTTGGTGTTCATTTGAGGGCTAAAAGTGTAATTTCACAATGATAATATATCTTTTTTGTCATACACAATTTCAAAGGCTGTTCCGTTTGCGTCATTTGTGAATTACAGTCGCTTTTTATGACAACTATATAGTCTACAAATGTTATCTTTCGTCAGAATCCTAGCCCACAATCATAGTCATTTTTTTTTGTGTTATCCACTTAACCACTATCAGAACACGTCACTAGACATAATGTTGACGTCAAATTATATTTTTAGCCTTTAAATTAACACCAACACGGCAAAAGATTAAAAAAGGACCATTTGTGGAAAGGTACCCTTAAAAAAGGATTACGGGGGTAATATTTGATAATAGAGGACTAAATATGAAAACCCCTTTGTTATAAAGGACCAATTATGGAATTTACTCAATATGAAAATATAATAAATTTATTTTAAACATATAAAACTATAAAAATTAAAATTAATTTGAAGAAAGAGGGATTGCATATTTCTAGAAAAAAAAGGTCTATAGCTGAAACAAAAATAAAAATAAAAGTCTAAAATAAAAGTAAAATATAGATAAAATAGCAAAATATGAGTTTCATGTTTTTATTTCTAAAATAATATTTTCAATGTCAATAATGTTAACACATAATACCAAAAAATACTAGGTAAAGTCAATATATAGTTTTACATTATCTCAGTGCAAATTCTTATTTTAAGTATATATAAAAATCTATGAAATTTCTATTTTAGAAATAAAAATTATGTTTTACTACAACTTTAGAGAACTTCTTAAACAAACACTCCCTCCGACCAAAAATTATCTTTTCATTCCATATTCCCAAAATCAATCTTTAATCAATTTGTACGCTTACTTTCGTTGTAAATTTGATAAAATAATATAGTCACATCACATCTAGTTTTGTGAAGCTTTTAATATACCGGAGTAGTTTTTAATAGTGAAATTTTCACTAAATATATAGTACCAAAACATACATCTTTTATCAATATAGTACTTAAACTTATTCATTCCCACGGAGTATTTTTTTAATGTCTAGTGGCAGAACAATGTCTAGTAATTATGAACATTTAGTTATAGCAATGTCCGGTGCCACTGGACATTTACTTAAACAATGACTAGTTAACATTGAACATTGATACTACATTGAGAAATAAAAACATATGATACTAATTGGGAAAGTCACTATATTTTAATACTATTTGGTTAAATTTACCTTATAAATATGAAATTTTACTCTTTAAATCATCACTATTTTTCATATAAAATAATTTAAAAAATAATATCGATCAAATATCATAACCCGCAACAGGAAGATAATTGTTGGAGGAAGGAGTACATTTATCATTCAGCTGCCAAAAAGCCCACTAATGATTGTAAGTGGTAAATAAAGCCCACATGCGCCGGCCCGTCAAGACCAGCAGCCATAGGGCCGGGGCCGAAAAAATAAAGCCCTTGAGACCCGCAGCTCCACCGCGAAAACCCAATACTCACCGCCGCGCTCCGCCAACAGACAGTCGCCCTTCTATATTCTCCGGCGAACTTATTTCTTCTCCGTGATGGAGTACGTTAGCCCTGAAGGTCTCCGCCTGGATGGTCGCCGTCCCCTCGAGGTTTGAATATACCCAGAGTATCGCATTTTCGGTTTGTGTCTGCTTTAAATCTCTGAATGTAATTAGAATTCGTTTAATTTAATTGATTAATCAATTCACTGTTCTTCTACTTATGTTTTCAATTGCAGATGAGGCAACTTCGTGCTGAAATAGGCGTGGTATCCCGAGCTACTGGGTAAGCAAAGCCGTGTAATATCTATGTACTCTATTGTGTTCCTCTTCATTTTTAATGAGTAGATAAATTGGAGCTGTATGGTTACACTGCAGTTCTGCTTCCTTTGAAATGGGTAACACCAAAGTAATCGCTGCTGTTTATGGTCCGAGGACGGTAATCCCCTCCAATTAACACCAATCTCTCAATATTATGCCAACTAATGCCTTACTTCCCCAACTAAAACATGATTCTATAGAGTTTTGATTACGGAGTATTATTTTTCCAAGTAATACAACAACTAGAAACCCAGTGGAATCCCACACGCATAGGGGTCTGGGGAGGGTGTGACCTTACCCCGACTCAAAAGTAGATAGGCTATTTTCAAGAGACCCAAGTTCAAGAACAGTTTAAGTAAACAAAAAAAAAGTAGACACCTGAGCACCTCAGCACGAACAAAGTGAGAACAAAGTAGTCACAAAGATCAAAGAGCACACTATGGGCAAAGAAAGCACACATACTATTTTTCTAGGTAGTAATGGAAGTTAGTTTTGATATTTGTTATTATTATGCTATTCAGGTTCAAAATTGGAGCGAACAACTGAATGACCAAGCTCTGGTATTTCACTTTCTTTGAGCAATGATATTTGTATTTGTGGTGCCGTGGTGGTTTAATCTTCAATAATGTTTCAGGTTCGTTGCGAGTATAGTATGGCTAACTTCAGTACTGGTGATCGCATGAGGAAACCAAAGGGCGACAGGTGATTTTTTGTTTTTGTTTTTCCATTATTTCAGTAAGGAAATTCCATGTGTTCAAGGATTCTATGCATTTATGTGTCAATCAGTCTCATATTTGGTGATCGCATTTTGAGGCTTATCCACCCTTATCCTTCATTTGTCCTTAAAACACCCCCTTTTCTACTCTTTTAATGAAATATGCTTGTGATAAAAGAGTGCAGTGGTCAGTGGGTGCTTTTAGTTGTTGGGCAGAAGATGTTGAAATGAAGAGAATGGACATGCACTTCACATTAGTATCATATAAATATCGTTTCTTTCCAGTTATTAAAAAAAATAAATTATTTTGTAATCCAATGCATAATAATTCAATATTGGCTATTTCAGACATTTTAGTCATTTCAACAAAAAATTGTGAACTTCCAGTTCAATAAGCTCTTTTGTTTAGTTTCCTTGAATTTTCTGTTATCCCTAGTTGTCACTTTCTTCCATTATTATGCATGGAAAGATCTTGTATTTCATTAAATGATTGTTTATGACATCCACACTGCAACAGTTACTACATATTTAACACTGCCATAATGCCTGAACTTCATGCCATTAAGTTTAAATTATTTCTTCCCTGCATAACTTCAATCCTTTAGACCCAGTTTTCACATTGAGATGTCAGAATTGGGAAAACATGTATCTATAGACTGTTTTTCATGTGTTCTGCAGGAGATCCACTGAGATTTCACTAGTTATTCGTCAAACTATGGAAGCTTGCATTTTGACAGATTTATATCCTCGTTCTCAGGTTCTGGTGTAATTACCATGTAACAGACCCAACATATTTGGTTTAGTTTGGAACACAAAATACCAGGGAAAGAAAGTAGGGAGAAAAAAAAGGGAAGGAATTGAATTTTGAGGGGAAACTGTAGGGGGTACATAAATATGATTTGAATATTTGTTCAAAATGAATTTTTATTTATTTCTATTATATAACAACACAAAATAAAAGAATGTAATTTATTTCTAATTACATGTAATTTTTTAATAAAAGATTTATCATATTTCATTTCCTTTGCATTTTTGTGTTAAAATTGAACATGAAGCTAGCTTTCCTTAACATGTTTCTTTTCCTTCAAATATTTCTTGAGCCAAACATACCTTTAATGATTGAGTATTACATTCTCTAAAGATTTCATGTAATTTTACATTTGCAGATAGACATTTTTGTCCAAGTTATCCAAGCAGATGGAGGTACAATTTATATTCTCCAGTAAAAGTGTGGTTGCACGTGATTAATTTTGTTGAGCAATTACTCCATATTTTTTAAAAATAAGTTTTTGTTTCAGATATTCGTCCATTTTAACTGCATGTGAACAATGTGAAGGCATAACATTTTCTACTTTGATTAGTACTTAAACATGAACTCTCTTATTTATAGGAACAAGATCTGCATGCATAAATGCCGCAACATTGGCACTTGCAGATGCAGGGATTGGAATGCGAGATATTGTTACTTCCTGTAGCGCTGGATATCTAAACAATATCCCTCTTCTTGGTAAACTAATTACCAACTCCATGTGAATGTTTTTTTGGGTGGCTCCTTAGGTTGATGACTCTCTTTCCAATTTAAACTTGCATCTAACAGTTTGATATTGTAACTTGTAAATGAACAGATTTAAACTACGTAGAAGACAGTGCTGGTGGCCCTGATGTCACTGTTGGGCTTTTGCGTAGGTCGGATAAAGTGACTCTGCTGCAGGTTATTTACTAAATGTGATTAAAATTTTAAATTTATGTGAACTTTTCATAGTAGCCTTTTCTTATGGATTGCCTGCAATCCTCTATTTGTGTCAGTATAATTTTCTGTCCTATTGTGTATGCTTAAATTTTAATAAAACTTCAACTTGCAATGTTGTGGACATCAAATTAATTCGATATAATACCACATTACTTAACTCTTTAACAAGACAACAATTTATTTTCTGAAGTCCAAAACAAAAGACAGAAGTTACTTGGAAACTTGATCAAGTGTCAAATTAACCTTCACACTTGACAGAATAGTGAAATTTGGTCACCCGATCTGAAAAAGCTAGAGTTAAACTCTTTTTCTAGATATAATCTTCAATTGTTGGATTTAGCGCATAATCCTGCAGGTTTCTAGAGCATTACCGATGTGACCAAATAAGTTTCATCCAGCTTTATACTACATGGATTTTATCTTTTAGACAACTACACTAACGACTCATCCGGTACAGAGGGGAATATAAACGGAAAATAGTACTTTTTCACCGGGAGAAGAATGTAGAGTGAATAGCCAAACCAAACGGACCCAGCCTATCCCACTTAAAAGCAGGGTCTTATAGGCAAGAATGCAAGATGTACACAGACCCATAGTAATCATGACTTTCGCCAATGATGCTCGCCTCACCATGTCACCTAAGGTAGCTTGGCATTGCCTAAGGGATGCCTTGGTGTCCTCTCGGCTGCCAAAACAGTGCTAGTAAAACACGTACACAATTCCACTCACCCTTCTAATTGCACAAAAAGTAATGGCTCTTAGTCAGAACTTGGAAGTCGAAAAATCTTAGTCGCTCCTCTCATTCCATCGCCAGTTGACGGATCTCGTCGGAGGCAACGACCGTTGCTGTCCAAGGATATTGCAGATCGAGTAACAAATCATAGTAAGCCCGCCGCCGATTGAGTGGATCTCCCTAGATCTGATTTTTAACTAATACTCACTCCGTCCTAAAACTATCTTCCCACTTCCTCTTTTTCATCGTCCTAAAACTATCTTCCCACTTCAAAAGAAAATAATAAAATGCCTCTTATACCCTTGTTATCTTTGCTTCGTCCAACCTTCCCACCATTAACATTTACGTCTTCCTTGTCTTCCTTCTCTGGATTCTCTACCTCTCTTCTACCTTCGCCGATTGACTGTCACTCCCTCTCTCAATCTATTGTGTTGATATGGATTCCACTGATTATTGTTATACATCTCGGATCTATTCCCTCCACCTTTCATCCCTCCCTCAAAACCCTAGATCTGCGCAGTTTTGTGGGAAAACTACAACGAGGTCGGGTGGGCAAACTCCGCCGCTGCCTTTAATTAGAATCGACCTAGATCTGTTTTTCCGATTTCCGTTGTTTTTTCGAGTTTTGCCTTGAATTCTGCCGCTGCTTCCTCAAGATCGAGTCGTCAGTTAATAGGGTGAGTTCCTTTCTCTTACATTTCTTAATCCTTTTCTTCACTAAAACAATGAAATCATGAGTTAGTTTTCTTAAAATTAGGTGTTTTCTTAGAAATCTTGAATTGCAATAAATGTTTAAAAGGATATAAAATTAGGTTTTTTCATAGTGAGAAGGCCACCGCCAAGAATACCGCCCCGCTGCCATCGTCGTCCCAATCTTTAGTGCCGCCACTAATTGCTGGAAAAGGGGGGGGGGGCAGTTTTTTCAATTGGGTGGGTGTGGGCTTGTGTTTTCCAAGTTTATAAGGAGGGGCATTTTTGGAAGGTCAAAGTCATATTTATCCCTTCCTTAAAAATGAACTTTAGTCAATGTGAGAAGATCAATATAGGACGGAGGGAGTGAGTATTACTGCATGTATTTTTTTCAAAAAAATATATGATTAAACTCTGTCTTTTTTTGTGTAAGTACTTTTTGGTATTCTATGAAGTTTGTATTAATTTTTTTAATTAATAGGTGAAGTTAATACCAAATATTTAACCTAGAATATTAAAGTATAAAGTTAATTTTAATGAATTTATATTTGTGTTACTAATACACTACATTTCTCATTTATAACCTGTCGCCTAGGCAGTCGACTAGGCACCCTTGTGCTGGTGCCGTGACAACTATACACATACCTTATAGTCCTTACCTCCACTCCAAGGAGTAGAGGGACTGTTTGGTCGGTTGGAACAGAATCATTAGGAATAATAGTTCCTGTTTTTGGTATGCTTTAGAATAATAGTGGAATAATTGTTTAAAGACCAAAATAGCTTCTCTTATTAAAAAGACCGACTCTAATTAATTTTTACACGAGTGTTTTTGTGCAGCCGTATTCCTTTTTTTCTTCATTCTTTGTCTGGGAAAAAGAATCACATGGGAGAGAAAGATGACATTAACCAAGCAAAAGAGTATTTTGCCAACGGGGAAGATAATAGGAAAATCATAAATTCTTCCTCAACCAAACTGTAAGTTGTAACACCTCATCTTTGAACTAAAATGTCAGTAACTAGATAAGAGACCAGTATCAACCGAAGCAACCAGACTACCATAGACAAAGCTCTGATAAGGAACTTGAATCAGATGAAGCAACTGGTGGGAGAATGAACAATCAACCTACTTAAATTTGATCCTAACATCTCTCCCTCACCATCTGTTTGAAGCCCATGCCTTCATTATCTTCCAAATCTTCAATCACTGTTCATAAAGCACTTCGATGGAGAGTTAAGTCAAGGTGGTGCCTTTAACGTGAAATCGACAAGGGTGTGGACTTGAGGACCAAACAAGGGTTTACACTAGTCCAAGAAAGTTTAGGATTTGGACAAGTGCCGAGTGGTCCTTAATACATACAGTGTTGGTGTAGAAGAGGGTGGTTAAGAAATTTGGCAATGTGGAAATTGGAATCAATACGTCTTCTCTGTTTGTGGGTAAAAATGTAAAAGACCAAATCATTTGGGTTTGAAGAAGCTCTTCAAGCAGCCACATGAGATGGAAAGGCAGAAGAAGTCGGCCCTGATGGCGTCAATGAATGGGAAGATGTGATACATATGCGACTATGCGTAGAGGGCAATGTTCGAAAAGGCGTATTGCGAATATGAGGCAATTTTCCATCAAGGTATAGGGCGTAAGCCACATTTTATAAGTTTCAAAATGTTCGTAAAGCATTATTAAAACTGAAGGTGTATAACATTGAAGGGAATACCATTCTAAAAAAAAATCTTCCCAAATCTATGGATACTCGCTCCTTGGCTTCCTTTTCTCCTATTGGTCTTTCTAAAACAACATCAAGATTTTCAACATCAACATGCACGGCAGAACCATCCATTGGTCTCCGTACTCCTCTTTGAGAATTGCTTACACCGCTTGATGAACAAGTGAATGTATTCACACTTTGATAGTACACCCCATTGTCAATAAACTCCTCCTGATTTCTTGTGAACACTTTGTCTGTTTGGCCAAATTTAACATCAATAAACTCCTCCTGATCTCTTGTTTAACATCATTGGGGACCTTTGGACATGGTGCCGAAATTTTCCTTGTTGGGCAAGATGATTTTTATATCTCAAACCTCTCTTGTGATATTTTTGTTACTGTATTACGCGGCATATTTATATTTCTATTTTTGTGCTCCCTGAGTTTTGGTGCTATGTCTATCCCATATTTTCATGTAAGGTCCGACATTTAAGCACTTAGGCCCCGTTCCGTTCAACTTATTTTTTCTTATTTTTTCTTATTCTTATTAAAATCAGATCAGATCAGACCAGATCAGATCAGATCAGATCGAATCAGATCAGATCAGATCCAATCAGATCAGATCAGATCAGATTTAATCAGATCAGATCAGATCCAATCAGATCAGATCAGATCCAATCAGATCAGATCAGATCCAATTAGATCAGATCAGATCAGGACTTATTAAAATCAGATCCCATCAAGAATTATTATTATTATTATTATTATTATTATTATTATTATTATCATTATCATTATTATTATCATCATCATCATCATCATCATTATTATTACATTGTCAATCTAATTCTACTTTTAAAATATATTTTTATTGCTACTTGTAATTTGAGTTTCTAAACTTTTGATCTTTTATAAGGATGAGATATTTTAATAAAAATACTATCTCTTCTATATATTGATTATCAAAATTTAATTATTTTTTAATGTATATCTAAATTAAATATTTATTCTAATGTATAATTCTAATTTTACAAAAAAATAATCATAAAATAAAAATATTATTACATTATAATATGAATGATTATTTTAATATATGAATTGACTATTTTTAAAATAATCATTAAATAAAAAATGTTGATTATATTATAATATGAATTATCATTACAATTTTCAAACGTTATTATAAAGTCAAATTAAATTATTGATTTAAAATTTTAAATTAAATCATAATTAATCAGATCAGATCAGATCCAATTAGATCAGATCAGATCCAATCAGATCAGATCAGATCCAATCAGATCAGATCAGATTCAATCAGATCAGATCAGATCCAATCAGATCAGATCAGATCCAATCAGATCAGATCAGATCAGATCCAATCAGATCAGATCAGATCAGACCAGATCAGAACTTATTAGAATCAGATCAGATCAGAAAAAATAAGTTGAACGGAACGGAGCCTTAGTAAAAAAACTTATACTTAAATTTTTACTAAAAATGGTGTACATAAAAAATCAAATCATATTATCGTAAAAATTACTTAAATTTTTACTAAAAATGGTGTACATAAAAAATCAAATCATATTATCGTAAAAATTTAAAAACAGAACATAAACAAAAAAGATGAAGGCGAGTACAGAAAAGATGAAGGCGAGAAGATGAAGATGAAAACCAGAGACGATGAAGATGAAACACATAATCTCATAGAGCCGATGTTGATCACGAGATAAGAAAATAGGGATCGAGAAGGTATGATTGAATTTTGCCAAGTAAATAGACTAAATCAATCCCTAATTTACAAAAAAAATGAGGCGCATGCCTCATAAATGCCTTAGATCTTAGCCTTAAGTCGTGAGTTTTTGGGATGGAATGCATTTTTGCAATGCCTCTTCAAACATTGGTTGGTCAGTGGAGGTGAAGAAGGGCTTTTCTTAAACATTGGTTGAATTAGTAACCTAGGATTAATTTGTATAATGAGATTACTTTCTCTAAGGTTATATGAGATTATGAGAATGTAGGATTACCTGCTTAAGATTGTGAGAATATAATATTAATATGCGCCAGATCTAATACAACAATGATATAATTTAAGGGCAAAAATTGAAATGTGAAAAGAAATGTTACAATACCTAAGTAACCCAAGGTCCTATCATTATCCCATTGTCCTATGTGATAATAAAATATGAGAGCACTCAGTAATGTGATAACTTATATCACAATGTAATCTCAACCAAACTCCCACTAATTATCGATCCTATTCCACCTATCACAAGCTCATTTTCCCTTTTATTTTATCAAAGTTAAAAGCAACACCCAACTTTGTCAAGCCCGCAAAGGTCATGTTCTTTGGGTTCACTTGACAAAGTACGGATTAATTGAGGTTTTATTAATGGACTAATGGATGTCCCAAATTCGTGGTTACGTTTATGTTTGAGCATCTAAAAAGATAAGAATGGATAACCGCTATGGTGCAGATGGATTCCAAAATATCCATGGACACTCTTGAAAATGTGATGCAACTCGCCATAGAAGGATGCAAGGCAGTGGCAAACTACATCCGTCAAGTAAGGGTTTCCAAATTTTATTTCAACAGATATTTACTATGTAATCCCTCTGGCCCAAAAAGAAATACACTCTTCACTACTCAAGTAGCAGAAACTTTTATTTATTTGTATGTTTTGATTTATTGTTTGATAAAATATTCTTGTCACCTTCTTTTATAGAACTTCTGACGTAGTTTTTAAATATTTAAGTTTTATTTTTAATTTCAATACCAAGCTTTAAATGAAATGAATTAAAAAAACTTGAAATTTTACTTCATTTTGCATAAAGTGTGAAACAATTTGGGACGGATGGAGTATAATATTTGCTATTCTGAAGATTTCATTTACTATGGTTGCTTATTTATGTGATGTGATCCTCTGGGCAGATATTATCAGAAAACACCGAAAAATTGGAAAACCGTTGCAACAGAGGGAAGGACTCATGATACGAAGCTCAAGTCAAATGGTTATTTTGTTTAGGGAAGGACTGGTAAGTAAAGAGTTAATTCATCACTAATGAGTTCTTCATCTAATTGCATTTCTAGATCAAATTTTCTACTTTCTCCAATGTTTAGCCAGCTACTCATATGATATGCCTCTTTACCCCACCTTTGATTATTGTTGCTTCCGTATTATTTATTGTTGGAAGCATTGAGTTAACATTCGTTTTCTGCTTCATTTTCTTTTGATTTTTCTTGATAGGTTTATCATTTTTAATTGCATTTTGACGTTATTTTTAAGTGGACTCCCTCCGTCCCTCTTTCTCCATATGCGATTTGGCATAAATACCACGCTAAAGTTTAAAGTAGATATAAAAGTCTCAAATAGCCTTTGAGTATGTTATTTTTTTGAGTAAATTTCATAATTAGTCTTTTATAATAGAGGATTTTAAATACTCCATCCGTATTAGTCTTTTAGGATTTTAATTAGTCTTTTATCATATTTAGTTTTTTATTTTTAAATACTCCATCCGTCCCCCAATATATGGCCACTTTTGTTTTTGCACACAAACCAAGGTAAGGGCTAAAATGACTCAAATGCCCTCTGCCAGCTGCCCCAACTATTTCCCTCCACAACCCCAGCCTCCTTCAACCGTATCAGCCTGTACCTTTTGCCACCCCAGCCTCCCAATTTGTTATCATCCCGACATCATCCACCTCTTGTACCTCTGCCATCCTAGCCACTATCCAACTCACTCTAGTTTCAAAACCAGAAAATAAAAACCAGGTAGAGACCAGACAATAGATTTTTAGATGATAAAAAAGAGTTAAAACAAAATCCCTTATTTCAGATCTATACCAAATTAGGTCTTGAATTTGGAACAGAATAAAAGCACCGATTTCAAAACAAAAACAGAATCAAGAAAAAACTCAGACAACACATTTTAGATCTAGATTTTGGGATGACATCCAACTACCAGAGATCTAGACTTTTTTTTAAAAAAAAAATTAAACTTTGTTCGCGGTCAAAGACATCCGGCTGTGGTCGGAGAAGACATCCAACTCCGGCTGCAATCTTGCTCTCGTCCGTCAAAAAGATCTAATTCCAGCAATATTGACATCCATTGCGCTCCAGGAAAGATGAGAGATGAAGAGGAATAGACATGAGAGAGATGCTAACGAAGAGGAAGAGACGAAGTAGTGGGGAATTAGTTTTGAATAAAGTTGAGAGAATAAATGATGAGGGCAAAAAAGACATTTCATATTCTTTTTCTTACCACAATAGGAAAGTGGACAAATATTGTGGGATGACTCAAAAAGGAATATTGGACGAATACTGAGGGACATAGGGAGTATTACCTTTGTGGTCTTTTTATGAATATATTTCCACATTTAGTCTTTTTTGGTACTTTTGTTATGGTTGTATTAATTTGAGAACTAAAAGTGTAATTTCATAATAATCATATATCTTTCTTGTTATACACAATTTTAGCGGCTGCTTTTGATGCGTTGTTTGTGAGTCATAGTCGTTTTTCACTACAGCCATAGTTTTCAGATGTGGTATTTCGTTGGAATCTTAGTCCACAGTCATAGTCATTATTGTTGTGTTCATCTAACCAATACCAAAATACGTTACTGGACATAGGGTAGATATCAAATTATATTTGTAGCTGTCAAATTAATGCCAACATGATAGAACGTCCATAAAATGACTATTTATGAAAAAGTACTCATAAAAGGACCACTAGGGATAATATTTGATAATAGATGACCAAATATAAAAAAACTCATTTTATAAAAGATCAATTATGGAATTTACTCAATTTCATGTAAATACTAGTTTGACCCGTGCCACGCACGGGTTCGAACTAATTTTTTTTATTCAAAAAATATATTTCAATGTAATATTTTCTGGATTAAAGAAAATATATTTCTAACACGATTTTTTAATATTATAGACAATATTATCAAAATAGAATAAATAATATAGAAATTGACATTTTATAATAAAAATTCTTATATGATTCCAACAAAAGTGTACACATTTTCCAACAAAAAGAAGAGGACAAATAGATGAAAAAATTATACATATTACTGTAATTGATTACGTACAAAATATTGCTAAGTACGGCGCATTCAACTACAATAATGCATTGTCTTAGGGGCTGTTTGACAACTTCTGAATTGGTAAGTGCTGAACCAGTAAGAGGTCCGAACCATTAAGTGCTGAACCAGTAAGAGGTCTGAACCATTAAGAGCTAGTATATTGCTTAACTATTCAGAGGCAAATGTCTGATCAATTCAGATAAGAAGTTTTAACCATTCAGACTCTGTATAATACTTAACCATTCAGAGGCAAATCTCTTAACCATTCAGACATCTGAACCATTAAGAGGCTGAAACAAACAGCCCCTTACTCTTATATTTATTTTTATTAATATTCCTCACTTTACGATGATAACATCTTGTTCTTAAAAAACAAATAAAATAGCTTTGATTTGGGGATAAGTAATTCCCATCCTCATTCGCAAAGATTGAAAAGTAATTATAGACATTGCTATTGTGCTCATAATAAAGTAATACGGAGTACTAAAAAGGGAAAGAAAACAATTTTTTTCTGAACATTATGTTTTGTTCAAGAAACTAAAAAATGAAATAAAGAATAGTTTTTCTTCTTGAAAAAAAGTGTGAAGAAAAGAATGTAAGAAGGCAAAATGAATCAAGAAGGGAAAAACTAAATTCTTCACATTTGGTGAACAAAATTAGAGAAAACAAATACGGAGTACTTTTCTTTTCCTTCTTAATTTCTTGAACCAACCATACTATCATATTGTAAAAGAGAAGTGTAAATTTTGGGAGGGAGAAAAATTATGCACCCTATAGCACAAAGCAACTTTGCATTTCAAGAAGCAATGGATATCAACTGAAGACGTATGACTTCTCATAAGCGGAAATCATCCAGTTGTCATAATCAACTCTTATGACTTATAATAACTTCTCATAAACGGAAATGACTATGAATGACTTGCTACTCATTGACTAAAAGAGTAAACATTAAGTAATATCGACAATGATGGCACCAAAGTTTTTTTACTTTTTTCCTTCATGGACATAGTAGTTGTGATATGGATTGGACTACGAAAACCTTCTAAACAAAGATACAACTTTTTTCATCACTCTGGTCAAGAGGAACACTGAAAGCGGCAGACATTTTTTTGACACCAAACACACTTCAACCATGAATCTGTGGATCACTACATCTGTTGTAGCAAACTAAGTTAACCTACAAATCGCAGAATGCAAATAAGTAATTGGGAACAACTAAAAAAATGCATCGTTTGACACTCATTTGCTCTTATTAAATAAAGAAACATGGAAACAATATCTCGTATAATTTATTTTTATTTAAAAGTATATTTATATGTGTTTGTTTGATTGATTCTTACTTCTTGAGCTGGACATTGCTCTCAAGTTTCAATAAAACAAAATGATAATTCTTTTTCTCAAATGCATTTAAAACCTTTTCAAAACACATCATTAAAGCCCATGTGATACTTTACACAATTACACGCACAAACAAATAGCAGTTTTAATTTGTTTGCAATAACTCCACTATAATAACCCATGATGTTCTTATGCTACTCTAAATAAGTCAGGCACCTGCAAGAGGAGAGTCAGATACAATAGGTTCTAATTCACTGAGGAAATCAAGGACATTTGTCAAGATTATGAAACTATTTTGATTAATCATATATGAACCCGATCTTAATTCATGATGTGCTTTATTAACATAAAATTTTAATGGCTTGGAAGTTTGGGATTGCTTAGACACGCATGCTAACTCTATTTTACTGTACACAACCAAAAGAAAACAATAAAAAGAGTGAGATTATAGTTTCACAATCTACAGCTAATTGCAGTTTTTTTCCATTATGAAACATATATGATCTAACAAATATTGAATGTTATTAAAGAAACAAAGTGCATCGTTAATGAAAAGAAGCCATATAGTGGCAAACTACCCATAAATTAGTGAAATGGAGCTAAGATATTTCATAAATAGTGAAGTGCCCATAAGCTCATTTTCAAACTTGACACCCCCCCATTTATACGGGAGTACCTTAGTAGTGTAAGAATGCTAAGATTAGGCATGCTCACAAGAGTCACTCTAATTTCTTCATTCGGATCAATTATTTACACATAATAGAGTGGTGGTAAGAGCTTATTCATCCATTGCATCAAGTTTAATATTTTATCTCAGGGTATGGAACTGATTGTTCATAAAAGTACTATTTGTTCACATGTTACACTCTTGGTTGCTATTATAAATTCTATATTGTGAAGTAGTAGGTGTATTATAGGGGAAAACAACATGTTGATTATGCATTCAGAGTATATATTTAAAATAACAGATGGGATTATGAGCTCCTCACATAAACTAAAAAAAACTAATAACTGACCAGTTGAGTGGGAAAAAACCAACAAATCCTGCTGGAGTATAGAGCGTTTTAGAAAACTACTCATTAAATTCTACAGTTTTAAATTTAAAACATATAATTTCATATTCATCACCAAAACTTACCTTTCTCATTCTGTGTGGTATTCATCAAGATTCTGACCAACGCTTACACTGCAAAAAGCATAAAATTATAAATTATACTCCGTAGGTGATTTGGAAAATATGGATCAATGACAAACAGAGAGAATTGGAAGGATGCAAACCTTAAACATCTTTCTTTATTCGGTGAATCATTCGGTAAACATCTTTCATGAGTTGGATTAGAATAAAACTGGACAATAAGACACATGCTGGTCATTTTTTTCATTAGCATTTGAGAAGTATTCTTCCAAACCCTTAAGTGCAGTGCAAGTCTGCCTATATGAATAACTATTATAATCAGTCAATTTCTCTTTGACATCCTCGATTGATTTGTGTGTCTTGAATAGTTTTTGCCATGGGAAAAATAAAATTAAAACTATGAGTATATAGGACTATAATTTTGAGAGGAATATGTGTTTGAATGAGAAGTTGTGGAGTAAAAAAAACGCAGAATCTTTTGTATATATATAAAGCATAGCAATTTGGGGAAAAAATAAAGAACCCTAACAATTTGGGGCAAATTTACCCAAGATTAATGCTCAGTAGTAAACCAATCAAAGGAAAGAATACCTGATTTTACACGAAAAAGCACTTCATACGCCGGAAATTGGGCTGTGATTGGTAGAAATCCGCTGCCATTGATATGCCTAAACCACTCAACGATAATAATCGAAGAAATGGATTCATAGTTCATATGGTATGAAATCTGCATAATACCACCCTATAGTGGGTCTGATTTCGTTCAGAAAAGGAAGGGAGATGGAAAGGAGATCGCCATTGACTGTGGAAGAAAAGGAAAGGCGACATTTTAGGTGCGATTCTTCAGAGATCGGGAAGAAACTGAAGATAACGGAGATATGCGTTTCTTTTTTTTCCTCCTTCGGTGGCTTAGGCTGTGTGACAGGTCAGATCCCACATCAGATTTAATATTCTATAAAAGTGACACATCAGATTTGCCAAATGTCGTTTTATAGCTCCGCCAAATGTCGTACTATAGCTTTGCCAAATGTCGCCTTCCTGCAGCTCCGACTCTGCTTTATATATATAAAGGATTTTCAAAAAAAGTCCAATGATTAAAAGTTTCACTATTCATCAATTAACGCCAAGCAATTCATCAGAGGCCACAAGCAGAGAGGGCTCTTCGCCATGGGCTTTCACTTCTCTTCTCTTGGTCATGTCTTCTAGCCAAAACTCAACACCAAAAAAGAATCAAATACTCCCTCCGTTTGGAAAAAGTATTCCTATTTTGACTTTGTGTAAAAATAAGAAAGTATTAAATTGTAGTTGACTTCTAATTTTTCCTTTGATGTGATAGGTAAAAGTAAGATGTGATAGATAGATTATTAGAGATAAAGTATGATGTGATAGGTAAGGTATGAAAAAGTAAGGGTAAAAGTGGTTTTTTAATAAAAAGTGGAAGTGTTTTGTTGGAAGTAAAAAAAATGAAAGAGGAAGTGTTTTAAAAAACGGAGGGAGTATATGTAACAATCGTATCGTGGAACATTTTGTGAGAAGTACTATATCCGTATGAGAACGGTGCCATTGTTGTGGAGCATTGTTTCAAAGCGGAACGACGATATGTTGAATTAAGATCTAAGAGTTGTAAAAGAAAATGAAAAATCAAGAAATGAGTTAAAACGCGATAAAAACAAGTCAAGCTTCCGTGACAAATGCAGTAGTTAATTTCAACATTATTATGAATTGTGACGAACCAAAAATGTACTCCGTACTATTCTCATTCATCACGGCAAGAATCGTTCTCATTTGA